TGCATGGTGATTCCGCCGCCTCTTTGTACTACATCTAAGCGCTCCCTCTTCTTTGCTTCCAAATATGCCTTCCTTTGGAATAATCTTCCGCCTGAAATTAGATTATCGCCTAGGTAACTGATATTCAAGTCGAAATTACGCAGCTATCTTACACCGGAAAGCGTAAAGGCACTGTTAACGGTCTCATTCCCGAACACTCAGATTCTTGACTTCGAGAAGGGTCCTCCTGGGATTTAGTGGTAGATTAAGTGGTAACTCTTAATTATATCATTAGAAACCCCTGTTTTTAATTGGTTTCTATATCCATCGCTATCCTTCCCCCCATAGCGACAATTTTCGCGGTTTTTTATGTCATCTCCCGCATTCCGACCTCATGCGGTCTGTCGACGCTCACGGCGGAACCCTCCGTATTCACTGTCTACTAGTAGTTCGGTCGTACCTCCCTTCCTCACTGCTCGGCTGAGCTCGAAGCGTGCTGTGGCCGATCGCATCTCGGTTCCTCTCGTCTGGCCTCTTTGACGCGGCGTACCAATCCGGCCCAGACGATCTCAATTGTGAATCCCGTATACAATGCCATTTGCAAGCCAGTCCTGTCTGACCCACATTCGTACCCATCAAGGCGGACATTTATTGATACCCTGATGATGATCGAAAACACTCCGTTATATACCGCCACCTACAGCGACAATTTTCGCGGTTTTTGATGTCATCTCCTGCATTCCGACCTCATGCGGTCTGTCGACGCTCACGGCGGAACCCTCCGTATTCACTGTCTACTAGTAGTTCGGTCGTACCTCCCTTCCTCACTGCTCGGCTGAGCTCGAAGCGTGCTGTGGTCGATCGCTTCTCGGTTCCTCTCGTCTGGCCTCTTTGACGCGGCGTACCAATCCGGCCCAGACGATCTGAGTTGTGAATCTCGTATACAATGCCATTTGCAAGCCAGTCCTGTCTGACCCACATTCGTACCCATGAAGGCGGACATTTATTGATACCCTGACGATGAGCGAAAACATTCCGTTATATACCGCCACCTACAGGCCAGTCCTGCTCGCTTTTTTTCTGTTATTATTTTTAAAGAGGGGTTTTTTCTCCTGTAAAATTAATCCAGTCATTTTTAACTTTTTCCGAGGAGTTTTTTTCACCCCTCAATCTTCATGTTTCTCAATGGACTTCTAATTCAGAAACTATGAATTGCATTTTGTAAAGATTCAGCCTACCTCGTCTACAACTCGCATGCAAATTTCTTTTAACTTGCATTGATGGGACCCCGACGGGTCTTTAATAAAATTATCTATCTATCTATCTATCTACCCCCGAAAGTTATTTTGGAAAACGAAGCCCAAGCAGCGCTTTTGTTAGAAAGTAGAACGACCTTAAGCAACTCGCACAAGGAAGTGTTTTTTCAATTGGACTATGAACTGATGGAAAGACTGGAAATGAGAGAACAGAGATCAGAATTGAAGGAGAGAATTGGCAGAGGAGAGATAGGGCTGGAGATCAAAAATGGACAAATAGTCCAGACAAAGGGGTCTTTCTTGTGGTCAGAACCCGTCACAATGAAGACCGGGCCTCTTCAACGAAACAGTCATTGAAGGTTATCTCCGCAAATGTGCAAAGTCTCTTCAACAAACTAGACGAACTAAGAGAATTAGTTGATGAAATTAAGCCAGGCATTATGGAATTCACAGAAACGTGGCTTACAGAAGATATCGCAGATTCAGAAATATCCCTTAGAGGATATCAGCAATTCAGGTGAGATAGACTTAGCCGAGGAGGAGTCATAATTTATGTTACTTGCAAGCTGAGCGCTATGGCTGATGTACATAGACCGGTACGGGATGTGGAACAGCTTATCGTTAGCATATCTACTTTGAATGTCCGATCACTGACGCTTTCGTTGGTGTACCGTTTACCGAACCATACTTCTGTCCAAGATCTCATGCTAATATCCGAAATGTTCAAAGCTAGCGAGAAAAAAGATGTCCTTATCTTTGGAAATTTTAACGCTCCTGGCATTGATTGGCTAACGTGGACTGCACAAGGGCCGCAAGACAGCTTTAATCCCAAACTACTACAATGGGCAACGGATAAACTTCTCTGCCAGAATGTGCCCTTTGGAACACGGTTCAGGGAAGGACAGCAGTCAAACGTCCTTGATCTTATTTTTACCTGAGAGGAGGAAAATGTGCTAAAGCCGCAGGACCGACAGCCCTTAGGGTCAAGCGACCACATCAAGTTTTACTTCGAGTACTCACTGTTTTCCAAACCCGTCAAACTCGATAGGTGTAAGAGAAACATCTGGAAAGGGGAACATTCGCTCATGAGGGGAGTGGCAGCTATATCATGGGAGACTGAACTGCATGGTCGAGCAAACGACAACTGGAATACTTTCAGTTCCTTACTGAAAGAGATTATTTATTCCAATTGTTCTCTCAGAAGAAAGACACTCACAAACCACCCAAAATGGATAAACCCGGATTTAAAAGCCTCGTTCAGAAAAAGTTATCGTCTGGGGAGGCGTTACAGACAAACTGGCTACGAAGGACACTTACAGGAATATAAGCAGCAGCAAACCATTTGTAAAAGTGAGGCCTCAAAGCTGCACTGAACATACTTCGAAATCCGTTGGGGCATCCGAAAATTCTATATGGTTATATACGAAGTACTAAAAGGACTCAGGAGCTAATCCCTGCTCTTATGTCTGCAGATAGGAAAGTAGAGACTGATGACAGGTCAAAGAGTCCCTCCTTTCCGACTTCTTTCAGTCCGTCTTCACCCGAGAAACTAGTTCTATATTTGCCCATCCATCCATTCGCCAACCAACCTCTCCTCATAGTAGCCTTCATCCTCCTATCCCCTCCTTACCCTCCTTAACCGAGGAACCACTCTTTTCATCGACCATAGTTAGAGCTGAACTACTCCGGCTGAAAGCTGCCAAATCTTCTGACCCAGATAGAATTCCCGCACTAGCATTTTGAGATTTTGCCAATGAACTACGCAAACCCTTATCTGCAATCTTTCAAAAATCATTTAAAGACGGCGAGCTCCCGGAAGAATGGAAGTGCGCACTCATTACCCCGATCCACAAAGGAGGCTCAAGACTTGACTGCGGAAATTATCGTCCTGTCAGTCTTACTTGCATCGCGTGTAAAATAATGGAACGCATTATCAAAAGACACTTGATGAAATACCTGGAACAGAACAAAATATTGTGCGATGCCCAACACGGCTTTCGTCCAGGGCGCTTCTGCCTAACGAGTGTTCTTTACTCGCACGAGAAATGGACACGATCTACCGATAAGGGTTTTTCAGTAGATGTCATATTTTTTACTTCAAGAAGGCATTTGACAGTATCCCACACAGGCTTCTTTTACAGAAGATCTGGGATGTTGGGATTCAAGGAAGAATGTTTAAGTGGATCAGGAGTTTTCTGTCCTCCAGACTACAACGAGTCGTCGTTGGTAACTTTACCTTGAGATGGGCAAAGGTGGAAATTGTTGTCGCACAGGCTCTGTCTTAGGCCCAGTACTCTTCCTGATTTATGTTAATGACTGCATCAGCGAATTGAATTGCGAGGCTCTCGTGCTCGCGGATGACATAAAAATATGGAGTGAAGTCAAATGTGATGATGAAACAGAGAAGTTGCAGTCGAACATCGACAAAATGTGTGCTTAGTAGAACAGATGGCTTTTGAAGTTTAACGTGTCCAAATGCGTAGTCTTGAACCGGAACACCAGCCGCAATCCTCTCCCAAACACCAGTACTATATTGACGGGACGAAGTTAGAAACGGTAGAAAGACACAGAGATCTGGGTGTATGGAAGACCACAAATCTATTTGGCTATCAGAACACTGTAGAAAGATGGTCCAGAAGGCAACTAGTACTCTACACTGGATTCGACGTGTATGTAAATATTTCCTCCCGAACTGTTTGAAAGACTCTTTGGTGTCTTTGTAAGACCTCATCTAGAGTATGGAATGCCAGCATCTTCACCATGGATGAGGAAGGATATCAACTTACTCGAACAGGTGCAACGCAGAGCGACAAAGATGGTTGACGGTCTAAAACATTTGTCTTATCAGGTGAGGCTGATTTTGCTTGGTCTATTCCCTCTCTCTTATAGGCAAATAAACTGCAGTCTACTCTGGACGTTCCGGATTGTTCGCGGCCAGATTTGCTCATTAAGAACAGAGGACTTCTTTGAGTTCGCCCGTACAAACCAACTACGCGGCCATGCATAAAAAGTCGGGAATGAGCGCACGCGTTTAGACCGACGAAAAATTTCATTCAGCCAGCGGGTTGTTAGGCCGTGGAACTCGCTTCCAAGCGAGATAGTGTCGGCTGACAGAGTTTGTGTGTTTAAAAGAAAACTTGCTCGTCTAGTTTTCGACAGAAATCGGCTTGTACGGCATGACCATGCACAGCCAGCTTTGTAAAATCTGTCATAGACAATTTTCCACACTAATTTACAGTGACCCTATGCACTACCTTATGATTACGATTGAACTGTGACCCAATCATATTTTGAATGCCTAAAATTTTATTTTATTTTTGAGTATGAATCTGCGAAAGCACTGTACATAAATAGGGTCATCAAGGGCTCTGCCTGTAACCCTTCAATATACATATACATATACATCTTCAGCTTCGTGCTCAGCTGAAGACCGTGGCGATTCCAAACTGTGCTTTGGATGCGACCGAAGGCTTGACTGGCTTTCGAGATCCGGTTGGCGACTTCGTCGTCGATCTTGGTGTTGCGGGAGAGCGTGCTGCCCAGGTAGGGCAGGTTCTCTACCACCTGCAGCTGAGTCCCATTCACGTTGATTTGCGGCGCGTTGGGGGCTGTGGCTGAGTTGGGTGGCGGTTGGTGCATCACCACCGTCTTTTGCGTGTTGATAACCAGCCCAAAGTTCTCGCAGGCGGCGGAGAACTGGTCCATGCTCCGTTGCATTTCCTCTTCTGAGGTAGTGTTCAGGGCGCAGTCGTCGGCAAGGAGGAGTTCGTGCACGGTGGCTGTGGATACGCGCGATTGGAAGTTCATGTGCCGGTTATTCAGGAGATGACCGTCCGTTCTGTAGGCGATGCGGATCCCAGGGCGTTCGTCGCGGTAGGCGTCCATCAGCATGGCAGAGAACATAAGACTGAAGAGGGTAGGCGTCAGCACACAGCCCTGCTTCACTCCGTTGGTCACTGCGAATGCCTCTGAGACAGCTCCGTTGTACGTGACTCGCGCCATCATACCGTCGTGCAGCTGACGCACCATCTGAGTGAATCGCTCCGGACAGTCGAATTTCTGCATGATCTTCCACAGTCCTTCGCGATTCACCGTGTCGAAGGCTTTCGTCAGGTCCACGAAGGTAGAGTACAGGTGGGTCCGCATCTCCTGGCACTTCTCCTGAAGTTGGCGGGCTGCGAAGATCATATCCGTGGTCCCACGATGACGACGGAAGCCGCATTGGCTTTCCGGCAGAAGGCCCTATTCCAGACGGTTGTTGAGGCGGTTGAGCAGGATGCGAGCGAAGATCTTCCCGGCGATGTTCAGTAGGCAGATGCCGCGGTGGTTGTCGCAGACTTGGCAATTCCCTTTGCGCTTGTATAGGTGCACGAAAGTTGCGTCCTTGAAATCTTGCGGGACTTCACCTTGACGCCACATCTCCTGGAAGAGCGCAGTCAGATGATCCATCAGTAGGGGACCTCCGTGCTTGTAGACCTCAGCAGGAATTGCGTCCGATCCGGGTGCTTTCCCGCTGGGGAGTTGCTGCACGGCCCTGATGATCTCCTGGAGAGATGGCGGGAGGTCGAGGTCAACGTTGGTCTCCACTTGCGGCAAGCGGGCGATGGCGGCGTCAGAGATGACGGAAGGGCGGTTGAGGACGCCCTGGAAATGCTCGGCCCATCGCAGTAGGATTTGCGTCTTCTCAGTCAGGAGAGTGCTGCCGTCGGCGCTGAGGAGAGGAGCAGTGCCCTTCGTTGGCGGACCGTAGACAGCTTTGATCGCGGAGAAGAAGTTCTTCCATTCGTTGCGGTCCGCGTACCCTTGGATCTCCTCAGCTTTTCGAGCAGTCCAGGCGTCCTGCATCTCGCGCAGTCGTTGCTGAAGCTGTCGGCGACTGCGGTAGAAGGCAGCTTTGTTGTCCTCAGTGGGGTGATCTACGTAGGCTTTGTGTAGGCGGTTCTTCTCAGCAAGCAGATTTCTGATGGCGGCGTCGTTGTCGTCGAACCAGTCCTGGTGTTGGCGGGGAGCGCGACCGAGGACGGCGAGCGCCGTCGACTGGACCGTGTCTCACAGTTGACACCAGCGGTTCTCCACGGAGGCGTTCTCGGCATCGGGGGCGTCTGCGGCGGCATCGATAGGAAGGTTGTCTAGCCGTTGAGCTAGCTCATTGCTGAAATGGAGACGGTGAGCAGGCAAAGACAACAAAGCAACATTCAGCTTGCCTGGTGGTCGCTTACCTTGTAGTCTCCTGCGAGGCTGTAGGCGAATACGCATCTTCGAGATGACGAGGCGATGGTCGGTCCACCCGTCAGCACCCGCGATCGCTTTCGTCACCAGCACGTCCCGCTGATCTCGCCTCCGGACGAGGATATAGCCCAGCAGGTGCCACTGACGCGACCGAGGATTCCTCCAGGTGGCCTTCTCTCGCTCCGGCAGACAGAAGAAGGTGTTCGTCAGGATGAGGCGGTGTTCTGCGCAGTTGCGGAGGAGAAGCAGGCCGTTGTCGTTGGAGCCGCGGAGACCGTGGGGACCCAGCACTCCTCTCCAGGCAGTATGTTCTGTGCCGACGCGGGCGTTGAAGTCACCAAGGACAATCAACTTGTCCACCTTCGACACAGTCGCCAAGAGGGCGTGCATGTCCTCGTAGAATTTGTCTCTTGCGGCGGCGTCAGGGCTGCTCATCGGCGGAGCGTAGGCGCTGATGATTGTGGCGAATTTGCCTCCTCGCCGGAGAGGCAGGCGGAGACTCATCAGGCGATCGTTGATTCCCTGCGGCAGACAGGGCAGTTATCCCACGATGTCGGTCCGGATGGCGAAGGCGACGCCCGCGTCTCGTCGCTCTGTCCTGGGTCGACCACTCCAGAAGAAGGTGTAGCCGGCACCCACCTCCTCCAGTTGACCTTGTTCGGAGAATCGGGTCTCGCTGAGTGCGGCGATGTCCACCTTGTAGCGGGCTAGTTCTCGTGCCACTAGCGCCGTCCTCCGTTCCGGTCGGTTGCTCCTCGGATTGTCTAAAAGGGAACGAACATTCCAGGCTGCCAGAGTGAGCGGGCTCACCCTGCCAGTCTGGAGAAAACGAGTTGGGCGACGGAAAGGAGGTGGAGAAGAAGACGACGAAGGAGAAGAATAGACAGAAGAATAGACGGAGGTAGAGGAAGAAGAGGTAGGATGAGGAGAAGGATTATGGTTGTTGTTGTTATTGGTATTGTTGTTGTTTTGGTTTTGAGTGTTTCGACCATGATAAGACGTCTGCGGCCCTGGCTAGCCTTGAGACGGCGTGGTGCCCAGCAATGTTTAGACCACCTTTTCTAAGCCCTCCCCCGTAATGGGGACAGGCAGTGCCCCCCGAATCGGGCTGCCTGTGTGCCTGTTTGGCGCGACCGAATCCCACTATGGGACCACGACTTTATGTTTGTAGTGGAGAACGACCGCATATGCCGAGGTCTGCGGTCTCCGTCGGCGTAGGTGGGCGCGTCTCAGCAAAGGCGATGCGGGGACCCATCCCGGCAGCAGCTGTCCAACGGCGTACCAGGCAGACCCTCGTCTCGGCGACGCCGGCGCACGTTTCATCCGACCAAACGTCCAGCGGAGTCCGCAGTACACTGTGCACGCGGCACAAGCGCACAGCGCCCTCACCTGGTTTAGCCCGCCGGTCGAGGCGGTTGCCCGGGGTGTGGCCGCTGAGCAGAGCCCAGCTACGTGGAGCCACAGGTGAGAGTTTGGTGCCAGCAAATGGACGCTAGGCGTAGTCTCACCTGCAAGCAAGTGAGCGACCACTACGACCTTCACGTGAACCCACCGCTGACACCCCTACACCCCACATACATACATACATACATACATACATACATACATACCTATTTTGATGACACCGCCAAAGTGTGTGTTGAAAAAATTAACGCTGATTTACTACGCCTAAGTAGATGGAGTTCAACATGGCAGATGGAGTTTTCCTCGCCCAAATTTGGTTTAATGTCTATTGGTCCTGCCAAAGTTCCTGGTCCCATAATTTTTCAAAATAACCCGCTCTCAGAATGCTTCACCATAAAGGACCTAGGTCTGTGTTATACAAATAAATTTGCTTTATCACCACATGCAGATAGAATCTCTGCCAAAGCCGCACATATATTTTGGCTCATTTCACATAATATTTCCTCGAGGAAGTGAAGCTAGAACTTTATCAAATGTTTGTTCTTCCTGTCCTTGAGTGCTGCTGTCCTGTCTTTGGTTTAATGAACGCCTGCGTCCGTAATAAAGTCGAAACTGTGCAGAGGTTTTTCACTCGGATACTGTTCTCCCAAGCTTCGTTCGGTATTTCTTATACTCAGATATGTCTGCTGGCGAACATTAAGTTTTTTATGGGTTAGAAGACTCGAAGCTGGTCTTTGCTTCCTTTTTCGCATCAACTCTAGCTCCAGTCTTCCGCACATTGACACTCTCACTCTGAGAGATCGGTCTTATGCCACGCGCAACTCCTGCATGGTGATTCCGCCGCCTCTTTGTACTACATCTAAGGGCTTCCTCTTCATTGCCTTCCGTCGGAATAATCTTCCGCCAGAAATTGGGTCATCGCCTAAGTTACTGGTATTCAAATCGAAATTACGCAAACATCCTACACCGGAAAGCATAGAGGCACTTTTAACGGTCTCATTCCCTAACGCTCAGATTCTTGACTTCGAGAAGGGCCCTCCTGGGATTTAGTGGCAAAACAAGTGGGAACCCTTAATTATATCATTAGAAACCCCTGTTTTGAATTGGTTTCTAAATCCACTGCTATCACTCCTCCCCCATAGCGACGCTTTTCGCGGTTTTTATGTCATCTACCGCATTCCGACCTCATGCTGGCTGTCGACGCTCACTTCGGAACCCTCATTATTCACCGTCGACTAGTAGTTTGGTCGTACCTCCCTTCCCCACTGCTCGGCTGAAATCGAGGCGTGCTGTGGCCCACCGCGTTCGGGTTCCTCCCGTCTGGCCTCTTGGACGCGAATAGTCTCATCCGGCGTATCCCTCCGGCCCAGATGATGTCAGTTCTGAATCCCGTATACAATACCACGTGCAGGCCAGTCCTGTCTGACCCGCATACGTACCCATAAAGGCTGACATTTATTGCTGCCTTGACGATGTCCGGCTATAATCCGTTATATACCACCACCTGCAGGCCATTCCTGCCCGCATTTTCCATCATTATTTTTATTGAAGTGTTTATTTCTCTTGTAAAATCAAACAAATCACTTTTAAATTTTTGTATGGAGTTTTATTCCACACCTCACTAATCATATATCTCAATGGACTATTAATTCAGAAACTATGAATTGAATTTTGTAAAGATTCCGCCTACCTCGTCTAAAATTCGCATGAAAATTTATTTTTACTTGCTTTGATGGGGCCCCGACGTTTCTTTAATAAAAAATTATTATTATCATTCGAAATCTACTCGATGTACAACCGCCGGACAAAAACGCTATCCACTCGATATAAGTATATCGAAAAAACGCTATCTACCCCCTATCGAGGCGATTTACGCTTCCTACTAGGGTCGAAATTCCCTGTTATTACCATTTTCGTATTTGAGGCGATCCCGCTATGGAAGCCTATCTATGTCTAAATAATCTGCCAAGAAAGAATTCGATAACCGATTTCACAGGACCGTGCTCCTAACGCGGCAGTCCTCATCGGGACTGCAATCGCCTGTATCCACACCAGGTTTTGGCAAGTCGGTCGGCGTGCGTTTTACACATCCCGAGCATGGGTACAGACGCCTGCCCAAACGTCTTTTCGACGGAGGCATCGCTACAGCCGTAAATTCACTCGCAATTCCAAAATGTGGCCCACAAGATTCAAATGTCGCGGACTGACAGCTAAGTCTTCCAACATAAACCATCATTTCCACGCTGCCAATGGACAAATTTGCGCCGGTAGACCCCATCGAGTATCCGCGAGAGCAGTCCAAATTCATCACCATTATCACCCATTTCACCATCGGTGTGGGCTCAATTCCAACCCTGTCCACCAGATGCGAACTTAACGGGAGCCTGCCGTGAACAGGAGTGCGCGAGTAAACGGTCATGCTGGCGACCGCGAAAGCGGACGTCTGAGTGGCCTCTTCGAGTTATAGTAGATGTGTTATCTCATGAAATGTTAACCGGAATTCTAAAAGGAGATTTCCACCCGAAAACGCTATGCTGCCACATGCAGGCCGGTCCTGCTCGCATATTTAGCTATTCATAAGCGACAGTTTTTTCTCCTTTAAACTTAATACATTCATTTTGTGTATTCTCTAAAAGAGTTTTCCCACTGCTCGCTTATCCTTTTTTCTTAAAGGACTACTTACTCAGTAACTATGTATTGCATATTGTACAGATTCTATCCACCTGTTCTATAATTTATATGAAAATGTATTTTTTCTTGCTATCACGGGACCCCCACTGGTCTTAAATAAAATTATCATTATTATCATTATCAAACTGGGCTACCAGATTAATTAACGAGCAGTATGATCCTAAGGTTGTTCTTTCGTACTAGAATGCGGACTTCGGAAAGAGCTTTGGTCTAGCTGTCATAAAATCTTTATTTTACAAAAATTGACTATGCATGTGGCATGACTGATTCCCTGCCAGCACCAGCCCCGCCTAGCCCCGCCTGGCCCCCCATCAATAATGGCGGGGCTAGAGGGGGCCATGAGGGGGCTAGGCGGGGCTGTGGAGGGGGCTGTGGCGGGGCATGCAACGCGATAGCCCCGCCTAGCACCGCCAGCGAAAAAAAATGCGCAGGGGACGCCACATCCCCGCCCACTTTTGGCACCACTTTAAAATATCGTCCTGTATACCGAGTCCCCTGAGGCGCAGTGCCTCACTGTTCCCACAGGTTACACGTCGGAAGCCACCCTGCATACGTAGAGTACTACGGTATTACATAGTACTCGCCGTACACGTTCCCACTAATCAGCAGCCAATATCAAATACACGCGACGCAAATTCATGCGAATGAGTTATTTATTGTATAAACGAAAAAGGAATTGGAAAATATGTACAATCATAATAAATGTCAGTGCCAGTATATACATGGACTTCAACATATGTTATGCCATTCAGTTGTGCGTTCCAAAAGTCCCCGCTTCGACGGCTGGTGCTTCAGTGATAGCCAGAGTAATTACGCTTCATAATTGCTTTGGATATTCAGTAAAAAACGATAAACAATTTGTATAAGTGGACTACGAACACCAAGGCTAAATATACATACATACATATACATACAACTCGACTACTTGAACTGGCTGGTGAGTAGATACCTAAACAATTAGCATAATATACATAAATGAACTAAGACAGCTATCAAGAGCATGAAAACAGCATTGGCTGACTCACGATATTATCTGCAATCGATTGTCAAGAATACGAATAAATAACACACCTGTGTGTGTTATTTATTCGTATTCTTGACAATCTAATCCGGTGGACAAATGAGAGTTTACGCAATGAGGGACCTCAGTATATTGTGCTGATCCGCAGCTACATTCAGTGGGCGTAAACTGATGCTTTCTCCATGATTTATAAGCTAATTTTGATAAATAAGCTTCTTTTAATGCCATAGAAGGCACAATGAGTGGTGCTTTTGAAACATATCTTTTGATGCAAATACGCTTCAAAATGCTTCAATCCAGAGGGGGCTGTGGCCCCACCCAGCCCCTTCCAGCCCCGCCTATGAAGGGGCCATGTGCTGGCAGGGTTTCCATTGATTTTCGACGCCTTTATAAATTTGATTATATTCTTTAGAAAGCGTGCACAAAAATATTTTTCCTTGTACTCATTTAGTAGCAAATTACGTTCTCCTCAAATTTTTTATTTGAGGAAAGACTGTATTTTGAATTTCAAAGCCTTTCTCACTTTCCGCATAATTTTGAATCCGACCTGTTGTTACAATTACGTTCAGAGGTTCGAAATTGTATCTTTTGAGGATCCCGTCAATAAAAAAATAGCATTTCTCTACGCCATTAGGCAGACGTTTTATAGGACTCACACAATTGTGCAATGAGCGTGGATCAGATTGGGGAGGTCGGCTTTCAGGTTCGTGCAGGTTCGCTTGGAAAAACACGTGTTGTTGACAACTTGTGCACGATGAAAACAAGGACGATGAGTCGGCCCAAGGCCTACTCATGGACAGCGAGAAAGCTGCTTGTTTATTGTTGCGACAAGTTTGTGCAAGCTACGGCGACGTGACTATGGTGAAAGCGAATGAATTAATTTAGCCCGTTTCGTTCGTTTCTGGTTACGCATTATCCCCAGCTCAAAGTGCACGATTTGGAAGGCTCTGACTTTATCAAACTTCTCCCGAAATGGAGGGCAAATGATGAACAAGGCCACCGCGCCCTTTTTTCAGGCGGCAGTAATAAAGAAATACTCGTTTCAGCCAGTCAGCTTGGGTCGTGCCTCGACAATATCAAGCGCTTTAAATTAAGAAACTGTGATCGTACTAGTTAAAACATCTAATTTGTGTGGTGATGCGGGCACTGGGTGGACATGCCACTTACGTGAATACAGGGCATTCAGTTCTACACCGCCGAATTTTTTTTATCCACGTGCAAGGATTTCATCCAGACAGAAAAGTAAACTAATTCCCGAACTGTTTTCTCTTCCAAGTGCCTTCGCGTAGTCAAGCAGGGCTTGAAGTTAGGATTAGAGGATTTTCCATATGCTTCTCAATGCTTGACATTTTGAGCTAGCTGTTAATGGCTGTAAGAGGCTGCAATGTGTGTGTATTGGCATGAGTTCGCCGGAGGTTTTGCTAGTTTCTTGTCTCATATTGCCTAGTTTCAAAAACTGACAAGAAATATCAAGCTAGAGGATTTTCCTTCGAACGTCAAAAGGACTTTGTGACAGCAGTTGCAGGCGACAACAAGTAAACACAAAGAAAATGCGAAAATGCATGAAGTATTTAAAATACCCATGAAATAAGGGCATTTGTGAAGACGAAGTGGAATAGATAGCAATTTATAGACTTTTGGATTTCGCGCTAAAACAATTTACGCAATCAAATTTACCATCTAATTTACCACACAATTTACCATACCACAATAATATCATCTCGACGAACGCTTTACGGACTGACAATAATGCGATAAATCTGTATGTAGACGGAAACCGTAAGAAAGTGTTGTTTATCACTACAGATTTGTAGTATTCTAAAATTGTTCCATTTAGAAGGAGGAATCTGAGGTAAAAAGTAGCCGGAATAATTTATCTGCGGTCTCACTTAGAGTATGCAGTCCAGGCCTGGCGACCGTGGTTAAAGAAAGATTATCAACGACTGGAAAGACTACAGGCGATGGCTACGAAGATGGTCAAGAATCTTCATCATTTGCCTTACGAAACCAGGCTGATCGAACTAAATCTGTTTCCTCTAAATTACAGGCAACTGCGCGGCGATCTCATTCAAACCTACAGGATTGTCAGAAGCCGTGAGTGTGCCCTAGATTTTGATGACTTCTTTGAATTGGCCCGGACTGACCGTCTGCGTGGTCATCCGTTCAAACTGCAAAGGAAGCGGGCTCATTCGGACGTCCGACGGAACGCCTTCTCACACAGGGTCATCGGGGCATGGAATGGACTCCCTGATGCCGTCGTTCTTTCCGAAAGTGTTAAATCCTTTAAGTGCAGACTATACGCTCACTTGCTGAGAACCTACTTTACATACAATCATGATTGTTTTAGCGGCGGCAGTTTGCGCCTGGCTCACACTTACCGCTAACTTCTTAACTTTTCGCATTTGCTGATGTAAATGATGACTTTATTTCTGTTTATCGACATGAATAGGGTGCTCAAGGGCGAAAGCCTCATTCCCTTAATAAACTGACTTAAAACTGACTTAAACAGGTGGATTAACTTGGGAGTACAACGACTGAAGGGACTTGATGAAATCTCTCTGCACAAGGAGGTCTGAGTTGCGTAGGATGGTTGTCATTGGTCTTCAGACGGGGAATAGTAGACGAGGTGTCATCGGCACGGATGTACGTTGCAGCCGTATGACCACTTGCAGCTCGTCAATACGCTTGACTGCCTGTTGCGCGCTAATAAGCTCTGGTAAGCACGCTTTTTTGATCTACCACCTACGAATATCACTTGTGAAGGGGAAACATAGTCGACGCCATCTAGACCCAGTTAAAGCAGGCGTGACGCTCGCAACAAGGACGGGTAGTCACCACGGTGGTGAATCTTGGTGGATAGTTCTATTTCGCTCGTCCTCGCACCTACAATGCGTGACCGATCTCATGAAATGTTCGCCAAAATTCTGGAATGCGTTTCCGATTAGGAAGGATTAGTTAAGTGGAGTAGTTATACCGCGTGCCATGCAGAAAACCTTATAACATTTTGGACTCGCCAGGACGTCTGTTTTTGAATGCACTTCTTTTCAGCCTCCTGCAGAAACCATACTCGGCAAAAAGTGACTACTTAAGTAGCATGTTTTTTCCTATTGATTTTCGATGGTCTTATAAATTCAAATATATTTTACAGAAAACATGCATAACTAATCGGAAACGCATGCCAGAATTTCGGCCAACATTTCATGAGATCGGTCACGCACTGTAACTTTCAACTGTGACTCCACGGACCTAAGCTCAGTACGGCAGACAAGTCGGCCATCACTTCTATAACGTGAATGTAGCCGCCCCCCCCCCCTCTCACAGCAGTCATCGCCACCGCCTATACCTGTCGCCTTCGGTCTACCTAACGGGCGTGATGCAAGCTCCGATTTCGACACGGTGACGCCAATCGATATTTCTTCATCGATTGACTGCGGCAGGATGACGATCGGGCCCATGCACTTCGGCGTCGCACTTACCTGGTGGTGCAACTGCTTGCGGTGTTGCGTGTACAGTAAAACGTTGTCCATTTACCTGTCTTGCTGCCTTCTGATTTGGCAACATTCAAGTTTTCGACCATCCTACCTCGACAGGGGATAAACCAGATAGAGCATCCGGCGTGTGCATGTGTGTCTTCACCTCGTGGTCCCGATTCCTGTCCCAGCCTCCCCCAAAACTAAAAAGCCCTGGGGTGAAGGAGAATTGCGATCCGGATGCTGTCCACTCTAATTCGGGTAGCCTTCCCACCAAAATAGTCGTGGCCCATAGGGAAATTCGACAGCCGCCCGGGAAACCATAAGTGGCCCTATTGAGGGGTAGTCTAGAAAAAAGGTGTCCTAAAATTACTGGTAAAACGCACCATCGACAAGCTTATCGTGGCCCGTGGAGGCAAAACACACGACCCAGACGCCAGTTTGACCGCAGTGACTGACGATGTCCACCGTGTGGTCCACGGCAGGATGATGGCAGGGAGGGTGACTTGTGCGTGACTTAGTTTATGGTGGTAGACAAATTGCGCGGAATCTACCGCACTTCTGCCAGTTAGACCCGGTGTAAAGATAGAGTCAACAGTTTAGTTGATTGCCCAGGCAGGATTTCCTAAGTAATGCATCTAGAATCCAGCAGATGACTATCGGGCTCACGTAGTTCAGAGGCGTTTTGGCAGATTTCAGATCATGACGAAGCAGGAGCGTTTTTGTGAGCCCCATCAAGACTGGAAGCGGGAGAGGGAGCAGATGGATGGCATAACGAAAACCCACACCTTGACGTCTCTCAAGGCCCCCTTATCCAGAACTTCCACTGGTCAAGACTTTACTCCAAGAAATAAAAGATCTGGCGATCCGGATCCCAATATGTGGGAGTTTCACGGAGACCATTTAAAGGAGCCATTGCGGCCGAACTGTCAGTCCACCGATCGGCCGTTTCACACAAAAACACAATGGGCTTGATGCAAGTTCCGATTTATCCGGTCAGTTGACAGCCTTCCAAGCCACAGCATTTAGCGTGCCGTGATAGATTCAGGCGCGTCATTTTGTTTATAAGCAGGACTATGCGCTGAGACCGACAGACTCCCTCTCTCCTCCCACTCACAGGCACCAGTGCACTGTCCGTGCCAGTCAGATGTCTGATACGGGGCGTGGGTTCATGGGTTAACAGGACTAGGGAACTCAACTCCGCACGCCACATACACGACCTGGCCCCCAGAGGCACACACCAGGGCTATACACACAAGGGGTTGCGACTTCGGTCGCCCGTGTGTGAGGGAGTGCCATAAAGAAAAAGTCATCGTAACCTGTCTCCCAGTTCACCAGTGGGCCACTCTACACACAAATGCTCAACCGGGCTGACTGCGGGGTTCTAGATGAGGTTTCAGTTACTCACATTCCTACCCACGGCTTTAAGTGTACCATGTTAGTCGCAGGCACGTCAAACTGTTTACAGTGATGCATTATGTGATGGGAGTCGATCTTATTCGCTGTATCTTGCCTCATGCACCTATTTGATTTTCCGAGCTACTCAACCAACTGCTGTTAAGGTTGGGGGACTTGGCAGACGAAACTGAGACCAGCTCGTCTGCGCATGCCACACACACGACCTGACCCCAATGCGCACATATCAGAATTCCCACACAATGGGGGATAGACTGCTCGCATCTCACATGCTGCAAAGAAGTCGCATGGAGAATCGAACAGAAGAGTACACTCCCTACTTACGTGAGAGGTGCTGGTGTTGTATGATGTCGGATGTGTTCATGTGTATTACATGTTTTGATGGGGGTGTCCCTGGTAATGTGGTAATTTCCGTGGGAATTTTCCGCAGGTTTTTGTGGGGAGTATGTAAGCGAATAGACCCACGCAAAGGATCAATGAGTTAGGGCAATCCGGCTATTGGTGCGATGACGTCTGATATATGTCGGTGTTCCAGGCACTTATTCGTCAGTCCCTGTGCAATGAATTCGCAAGTGACCGGCCAGGCTGATGCATGGGGTGCATGTGGGATCGCTATGAGGACAGGTTTGGACCGAGTGAACATCGAAGTTTGCGTGAGTGTCGATGAGTGGCGGCTGAGCACAGGGATACTGAGCATCGGCGGTGAGGCTGGACGCTGTCGCGGACGCCGTATTGGTTGGTGCAGAGGCGGTCAAGGAGGCAGTAGGTTGTCTGTTTTTCGGTGCATCGGGTTTGGATATGTCTAAAGAGAACAATCCACGCACAGAATGTTAGTTGACAGTGCGGGCACATTATAAGGTGGTAGATATTCGCGTTTTGGGTCAGATTAGCCTTCTTGTGCTTGGAAACAGCCATCCGGTTGGCTTCATAACTTGCTTCCCCGGTCTTCACTGCCCTCTCCAGGCCCCTTGGTCTCATGCGAGGTCTTCCCACGCTTTCGAGCTAATTTGCAGGCTCTTCAAGGAGTCCGCCAGGTTGCCGATGTAGTGCCGTGTTTAAACACCTTGTCGGTGAGCATCCAGACTGACGTCTCCGAAATCGTTTGGGTAATCGCTCGTCGTCCCTCCTCACGAGGTAACCGATTCATCGCAGTTGCAGTTGCCTCAGCATGGCGTGAAGGCTGAGAGTTTCTTCCCGTTCGAAAATTTCCGAATCGAGGCTCCTGTCCTACGACGCCTGCTTTCGGATTCTCGGAGAGCAGCTGTTGTGGAAGGGATTGGTTTTGCGCAGCTGTTTCCCGTAGATTCTCCCTATTTCCACTCTATTCGGCAGCGTCTTCAGAACGGCAACTTTGTACGTATTGAGTTTGGTGCTTAGACGGAGACCGCGGTGGTTCAATACAGCGTTCTTCAGTCGACCAAACTTATGCCTGACTTTCTAGATCAGGTGGGCCACTTCGCCGTCGATTTTAACGCAGTGTGAGAGTGTGCTGCCTAAATAGGCGAAGTTGTCCGCCGGTTTCATTTGAGTGCCGTTGGCGTGGCTGCGAGGAACATTGTATGCAGCGTTGGGCGGCGCTTAATGCATGAACAGCCTTCTGTTCGAGTTGAAGGTCAGCCCGAATCTGGCTCAGCCGGAGTCGAAGGAGTTTAAGCTCCGTTGTATGTCAGCTTCTGTCGCGGTGTTGGGCGCGCAGTCATCAACGAAGAGCAAATCGTGGACAGTAGTTGTGGAGAGGCGCGTTGAGGCCTGCATGCGTCGACTATTGAGAAGGTTGGTGCTGAGGGCGTCAGTCTTGTAGACGATACTGATCACGGGGCACCCATCGCCGTGGACGTCCGTCAGCGTGGCAGAGAATATGAGGCTGAAGAGCGTGGAGGTGAGTACGCAGCTCTGTTTCACACCGTTGGTTACTGCAAATGCTTCTGAGACGGTCCTTTTGTGTGTGACGGGCGACATCATCCCGATGTAGAACTGACGCACCATGTGTGTGAGTCGCTCAGTACGCCTGGGTTTCTGCATGATTTTCCGGTATGCATCGCAATTCACCGTATCGACGTCTTTTGTCAAGTTTACAAAGATAGTAGAAACGTGGGTCCGCACTTCCTGACGTTTCTCTTACAACAGGCGGACGGTGACGATCATATTAGTGCTCTTGCTCCGTCGTAGTAAGCTACGTCTGCTCTGTTTGGGAAGCCCTTGTTTTAAATGAACGTTGAAGCGGTTGAGGAGAATGCGAATGAAGATCCTCCCCGATGATGGTAAGGAGTGAGATGCCTCTGTGGTTATCACAGAGCTGCCGGTTACCTTTCCGCATGTAAAGATGGACTAGCCTGACCCGTAACCTGGTCGATGAAAGCCCTTCCCACGATGGGTGACGTTCCTAATAGCAACCTACATGACAATGGGCCCGTGGCTCAGTGATACAGCGTCGAGACTTAAAATTCTCGATGACCGAGGAATTCCAGTTTGTCCAAAAATAGACGACTGACGACGGCTACTAATCCAGCATTGTACATCTCAGTCTTCCTTATCTTTTCCCCTGTTTCTTATGCGTAATCACCTGAATGCACTTTTCCACTTGGTTTAACCAATCGCAGGCTTCGGCGAAAATCCTGACCAATCCGCGAATCAATGGCAGATCCTCAAGCTAATTATGGAAATGTGGACCATTCTCATTGCATTAATCATCCTCCTCCGGTCGACAACGAACAATCAGGAGAGCCTTCTGGTTTTAACGCAGTTGCGAATAGCTAGGCCACGCTTCCTCCTCCATAATGTCTATAACTTCCAATAAGTTGGCGGAGACCACGAATTTCTGATTTCTACACCAAATCTGCGAGAAATTGAATGTGACTGTAGCAGGCGAACAAAAAAATCTGATACCGAGCTTAGCAGTAGTACTGCTCGTTTGCCACTGGTAAAAGTCGCAGTCTGAGGTAGATGTCGGCTTCGAGTTAATCTACACATCTACGCTAAATTTGGTTAGTAGTCAGTTAGTTAGTAGCATATGCATCCAATCGGTGGTGACCCGTTCGCTTTCAGGTTTGGCCGGCCCGATATGGTTCGTCTTCTTTTCTCTCCCAACTATCACACAAAGAAGGGTTTTTATACGACTTCACCTGCAGATGAAATTATAACAGCAACCGACAGCAACCGATGATGTGCATCCCCCTGCAATTTTAGACCATATAACTTCCATGGTGTATATAAAAGGACGTGAAAACTTTCTACTCGAATTCGCCGTGGCATCCGAAAGTGACAAGACATCAGGATCAGGGTTGGAATGTCGACTTCCCGGCTCGGTCTCGTCTGTCAGTGAGTGAAGTAAATAGCTCGATATCGGGAGCTTTGTTCTTTCAAAAACTCCCATAAAACCAGGCCCTTGATCAATATTTCAGGAGAGCGAACACTGAGTCCCTGTCTCTCGAACCAAACTAGCTCAAAACATGTTCCATAGACAGTCTGGCTATTGGATTCTGATTTTTGGAATGCCTTCTAACAAACGCGCTTCCCCGATTTTACCCCTACTTTCTGTTTCGTAATAATAAGCCTACTGTATTTTCCTGCTGGTTCATAAACATATTTCTTACCAGGTCTTCGGCAAAGACCCACTAGCCTACTTCTCCATCAATCCGAAAACTCTGATTTTGGGACTTGTCTAGTTTGTTCGGACTGTAGTTCATGCTGACGGTAGAATAGCCTCGTAGACTTATCATTCTGACTGTAGCGGCCAATTTTGTCCCGCGCCAGATATTCTATCTTGGTCCCCGACTACCCTGGTCCGGTACTTCCAGTGAGACGCATGTAGGGGTAAGTCCTGATTTGATGGAAAATGAAGACGTTTAAGATGCCGTCATCCCCAGTATTAAGGAGCGAATGAAAGCGACCAGGCGGAATCCCATTGTAGGGTTGGAGTCCTTAAAACATCTCACGCCGCATTCTTTTAAGCAAAATCTGACAATATTGGGTATGTTATGTTAGGGGGGCGCTCACCGATCGTTCATACGGAACTCACTCGTTCCGTTGTGCCTGATGGACTCTCTCTCGAGCCCAACCAGCAGCCGCACAGCGGCGAATGATAGATAGGCAGAATGGTATTGCCGACAAAGACAAGGGAGACTGGAATGGCCATTTCTGGCTTATTAGCCGTCGTCAGCCAGCCATACCCAAGCCCGAAGTGTGGAACACCCGAGCCTCGAACTCGCGACCT